TAATATTGGGTCTATAGAAGGCTGATCTTTATTATCATCAACAGCCTATAAATGCCCACTGCTGAGCAAAGCCTCTTCTCACGCGGAGAAAGTTTGAGCATTAATCACCACGCTTGCTCATTGCAGGTTGGCGATTACAAACTTATAATAAGATATTATAAGCCCAGGTTTCCTCACGATGTTTTCCTTCACCGTTTGTCAGTGGTGTCTAGATTATCTTAGAAAGTACATATAACTCGGAAAAAGTCACATTGGTACTTGCCGTTGGTAGGTTTCGAACCTGTGCATGAGGAGCGGGCGTCTTAAACCTCCGGGCCACCACGACATCATATATCTTTATTAACATTTACTATCTTTAAGCATAAGCTAATTTTAAATAACTGACTAGTCTTTGCTTCGAACGAAACTTAAGATCAAAGTCAAAGTTGTGAGATTTGATCTCTGGACAGTGCAAAGATTTTTCAGTTTAATTATATTTACATAAGTAATTATAATAATTAATTCTGCCTCGTTGGCCGAGTGGTCGCAAGTGTGACTGCCGGGCAAAGGGTCTCGGGTTCGATACCCGGGTGGGGCAAAGTATTGCTGGGTTTAAAAAAACTCTCAGTAGTAGCACGGAGCCTGGAATTGTGCCCGGCATATGGCAATAGGCTCACCCCCTATTACATAATATAAATAGTGAAAAAAGAGTATGCCATTATACAGTCGCATTAAGTGCCGTAATGTACACCTCTGCCTGCCTTCGGGGATAAAAGGCGCGATGTAATGTTATATTAATAATTAAGTACTTGGTTAAAATAGATTGGGTATTGTCTACGTCGACATACATCTTTAGAAGAACAGCCTAATTTTCTGCTATCACTCCCATCAATACTCCTACTGATTGACGATACAACCTATTCACTTGTAAACCACTCAAAAACGTTATTACAGAGAAAATCAAAACCAGATTGAGTCTGAACTTCCCGTAGAAGTTGCCAGACCAATTTAGCATCATTTAAAACATGAAAAATCGAAAATGCGGGCGCCGAAGCTTATAATCGGAAGCCATGCTTCGAGTGACGGCGACGCTTCCGAGCATGCGACAGGTTAGAAGCAGAAGTTCCATTTGAAACGTTTTATTGCAAGGTTGACCTGCTAAGTATGAAGATTATGGCAAATCCTCATATGTCTGTCTGTTCGTCTGTCAGTGGACTATGGAGGGTTGTTTATGATGATGATGATCAGGAACTACAGACTCTGGTAAAGAACTCCACTCCTTAGCAGTACGCACAAGGAAGCTTGAAGCGAAGCGCTTCGTGCGTATGGGTGGGACATCTACCATGAATCGGTGACGCTTCTTCGATTATCTTGAGGTACGATGATGGAAAAAACTAGGGGGAATCAATTTGTGCAATTCCCTTGCACACTCACCGAAATGTATCCGGTAAAAAACTGAAAGGCTTGCAACCTTACGCCCGTGTTCGAGGCTTTGAATCCGAGCCTTCATTAATAATTGGAAAAGGAATGGTACTTCTGCCTTAACGCCTGGAGCACGTCCCGCCCCTGATCCCAACAAATTCGCGAGATTTTCACACGCATTTACACAAGCAAATATGGGAGGAAACTGTGCTTTTTTGCTTAAACGTTCACTATTACTTTACAGGAAGGATATTTTCTTTTAGCTTTACTGAATATTTTTTGTAGAACCGCGGCTTTATTCTGTTACACTTGCTTTTGGAGAGTAAACAAGCAATAAAATTGTTCCGTATAATTTTGAAAATGGTGCATTTATATGTATGTAGGTAATTTCTTACTTACCTCGTTTTGTTTTAGAAGATTTCCTTCTGTATCACGTACAGCAGAATTATATATATAAAGATAAAGGTAAAGATACTAATGTCAATTAACATCAAAATCAGACCCAATTATTCCAGTCCCATCCATCCGAATATAATGTAACCTGAAACGGATTACAAATGGCACAATTTAGGCCTCGATTCAGACGAATCCTGGATTTGTGGCTAGTACAATAACAGGTCAGGTTAACAAGTGACGCCATAAGTCTACAAATCAACCGATAATCCGAGGATTGGGCTACAACCGCCGTCAAAGGACTGTGACGTGGGATGTAGGGCCATGAAGGAGGCGTGTTATGATACAAATGCGTTACCAGCCTTTTGGGGATTAAGAGTTTGAGGATTGTTGGGGATTCAGGGATTGGGGAGATTAGGGAAGGGGGTTAATGCCTCCGGTAACTTCATTCACACGACGAAACACAACGCAGTATTGTTCCACGTCGGTTTTCTGTGAGGCCGTACATACCGAAGCATGACTCTCCCACACACAAAAATGATCAATAGCAACAGAACTTTATGCATATTCACAGTCACCATAGCTAAAGTACAAATACACATAACACTAGAGATTAAATTGGATTAAATGAGAATGAAGGAGTATGCAGTAAAGCCCCGTACATACGCTTGGCGAACAATGGCAAACACCAAACAACAAACACCTACATGTGGATGGGTGTTTGTATGTGTTTGACTGTTCCTGTTTGTGTTCGTCACTGTTCGGGATCGGTGTCGAACAGTGGCGAACACAAACACAGATCAAAGGCTGTTCGGCAAACAGTTTGCGATGTATCCACATGTTTGCTACACATCGATGTTCAGGACTTTATTTGTTGTATTTGACTAGACTGCCTCGTTGGCCGAGTGGTCGCAAGTGCGATTGCCGGCGGCAAGGGGTCTCAGGTTCGATTCCCGGGTCGGGCAAAGTATTACTGGATTTTTATGAAAAATTCTCAGTAGTAGCACGGCGTCTGGAATTGTGCCCGGTATATGGCAATAGGCTCACTCCCTATTACATGGGACTCATAACATGAATAGTGAAAAGTGGGTGTTACATTGTACAGTGGTATAATGTGCACCTCTGCCTACCCCTTCAGGAATAAAAGGCGTTATGTTATGTTATGTTTGTTATTTGTGGCAAACATCAATCTTGTGGATGGGGCATAATACTGCATGGTGGGCGCGAACAACTCTTTGTGTGGTCCACAAATTGTTGTTCCCGGTCTGGGTGTCATTGTGTATGTGAACTTGTATGTTTGTAAACGCACCTACGATACAGGAGAAAATCCTAGCGATGAGCGACGAACAAAATATATAAAATAAAGTATGATAATCGAGTGTAATACATGTGAGTAACCCGCGTTTTTTAGTTAATTTAGTATATCTCACGATAGTTATTATAAGAACAAAATATGATATCTTGATGGTCTGATAATTTCTAATTTGAGCCGATCCCAAGTAATTTGATATAAAGATAGGAAGAAGAATCAGTGTTTAGTCTAAAATATTTTAAGTGACATCGCGGGTTACTCACGTGAATATACTGAAAAAGCTCTACTAGTTTCGATCCACAGAGGGGTTCTTCGCGGCGACGTCGCGCAGCTCACTGATTTTACTTAATTTACGCGTTTTTACTTAATTTAGAATGTCTCACGATAGTTATTATACTAAAATATTTTATTGAAAATAATGTTCGTATTATATAATTTATAATTGCAATGATAATAGTCTTTATCCCTCTAACTATCTCTTTTATGATAAACCTGTAAAAATATTCAAATATGTATAAATCTACCGGACCGCTGGTTTAGTGTCCTTCCCCAGATTGAACCCACGTCCAACAATATTTGACATCTTCCAGTTCGCTCTATCTATAACATTATTGTTAATTTATTGCTTCACTCTCGAAACTATCGCTTTTGGAGCGAAAATTACTATTCCACAACAACATTTAAGTCATACAATTAAACATTTGACAGACTCCTCACTGAAAATCCTTTATAGTCTACTAGCTTTTACCTGCAGCTTCGCTCGCATCACAAAAGGATAAAAAGTAGCCTATGTGACATATACCAATACACACAGCGCCATCTATACCAATAATTTCGTTTTTCCTCGAGAATATCAAATTTTTCCAGGATAAAAAGTACCCTGTAATTTAATCCAGCCTTCTAACTTCACGTCTCCAAAAATTCAAAGCAATCGGTTTAGTAGTTACGGCGTGAAAGTGGAACAAACAAATAAACAAACTCACTTTCCGATTTATAATATTAGTAAGGATAAGATTATTAAGAAAAATCAACAACTAAACAAATACTGATTTCAAACATAACATGACATCACGCCTTTTATCCCCGAAGGTGGGCAGATATGCACATTACTGCATTTAATCCCACTATACAATGTAACACCCACTTTTAACTATCCTTACTAATATTATAAATCTGAAAGTGAGTTTGTTTGTTTGTTCCACCTTCACGCCGTAACTACCCAACCGATTGCTTTGAATTTTTGCAGACGTAAAGTTAGAAATCCGGATTAAATAATAGAGTACTTTTTAACCCGGAAAAATTGATATTCCCGAGGAAAAACAAAAGTATTGGTATAGATGGCGCTGTGTGTATTGGTATATGTCACATAGGCTACTTTTTATTCTTTTGTGACGCGAGCGAAGCCGCGGGTAAAAGCTAGTTTATGTTATAGTGATGTTGTGTGAGCCTATTACCATAATACCGGGCACAATTCCAAAATGATTTCAAATCACAAATAGAACATCATTTTTAAATCTATGTTGTTCACAAACTACTCATTCAGCCACATCCATTAGCTAATTGCCATTGGTCGAAATTCTGGCCACAACTCACTTCGACAACCGAATGAGGTTCGAATTTTAAATCATAAGTAATTGGAACTTTTTTGAATGCGTTCTGTTCGATCGTTACGAAATGAAAAATTCGTTTGAGATTTTTATTTATGTCGCCAAAGTGAATGAATGGATTCGAATAAAATAATTATTTAATTAAATAGAATGGATTTTGATTTTTTTTTTTTGGTTATGTGAACTTGTATGACCTTTCTATCTGCTTTCTGTAAGAACGTTGCTGAAACCTTTTTAGGTACAAGTCTTTGTTACAATTAATATTAAAAGTAACAATTACATTAATGACTGCACGGTTGGCGCGATGGGTGAGCAACCAGCTGCCGGGCAACGTGTCGCGGGTTCGATTCCCGCACGGAACAACTCTTTGTCTAATCCACAGATTGTTGTTCCGGGTCTAGATGTCATGTGTATGTGAACTTGTATGTTTGTAAACGCACCCACGACACAGGAGAAAATCATAGTGTGGGGCAACGTTTTATTAAAAAAAACATGTCTGCTGTTTTTGTCAAAATAAAGCTATTTTTGTGTACTTTCTCTCGATTATCTCTCATGGGGTTAGATATCCCTGCAGAGTACAGTAAAAATAAATATTTGATTTTAAAATAAACTAGTATCTTATTCCACTAGGGACTAATAATTACGACACTCTTGCTTAAAACAAAAATGTATGATTTATTTAAGAGTACTGGTACTAAGTAGTCTTCTTGAGAAAATACGTTATTTTTCAAACTAACAATGTTCGGTAAATAAAAACAAACACACAAAAAACAATGTTCTTTCCTTTTTTAAAAAAAAAACAAGAAGCTATCGAGAAAATTATCCACAGGCTGCTATCAGAAATGAAGAACTAAAGAGGTCTTAAAAGGTCGAAGTTTACCGTCTACTGGAGAGCGGTTGAGAATTGAGAGCACGCTGTATAAGAGGTGTTACTACTCGCGGCTTACATCACTGCGAGCTAAGAATGAATGGAGCTGGCATTGTATTAACCCCGAGAACAATAATTTTATTTATTTATTATTACTTCTTCACCAAAGATAACAACAGTAAATGGCGGACTTATGTCGGAATACTGAAACGCTACTCAATTTTAAGTCGCGCTTAAGTATAGTTCTGTCTCCACTAATTCTTTGTAAAAAGACAGAGATGTCACGATATTTAAGCACGACTTAAAATTGAGTAACGTTTCAGTATTCCGGCATTAATGGCATTCTCTGACAGTCAACCATAGGGAAGCGCAGAGAAATGAAGCGGTTAATGCGAAGCCAGAACGCAATACAAAAAGAAATAATAGTTATTAAATAATATGCATACTACACACATAAAAACCTATACAATAAAATTTAGACGTCATGTTGCAAAAAAAAGTTTGTTTAGTCAGATATTATTTAAATAAAGTTCAGTTATAAAAACGGCCTGTTAAGCAAAACTATGCCTGTGGTAGTAGTATATTATTGGGCATTCTATACCACTATCGGCAAGTCGCTCGGCGAGTGCGCCTCGCTGCCGATAGTGGTATAGAACGCCCAATAATCGATACTCGACTCGACTCTCTACTCGACCGACGATCGTTCGAGTTATTCTCACTTTGGATAGTAGTATATGATTAGGCATTCTGGATCACTTTTCGCTCGGCGAAACAAGTTCGCCATCGCGGTGGTCCAGAATGCCCAATCGTCAACGGTCGACTCGAACAATGATATAAACGCGAAAGAGCACCTACTAATGAAACGGTCAACTCGGTTTTAGCTAGAGGTATGCGATGCATTTTTGTCATCGATCGGAATGTTATGTATCTCGACTTTTTTCTAACACAATTTACAATCGCTTACAACGCGATGATAGTATAGAACGCAAAGTGTTCAAAAAGGTAAACGATGTTTATCGCTACCTATTTATATCGTAAAACGTACGATCTATTGTTGAACCGTGTTCTTACTCGACAGTGACATAGAATGTGTATGACTATTTATCGTCATAAATACAACTTTGCGATATTTAATTGAGTCTGTATCAGAGGTGTGATATGAAGTATGTGTAGTAATGTGTACCTAGTAATGTGTAGTAGGGAAATAAAAAACATCAATTGAAATAAAACCATATTATTTATTTATCATAAAACATGGGTTTGTTGGGGAACAAAACATCTGCAGAACGGACAAACTCCTGCAGTTTCTGCCACTGAGGAGAGTCTAAGTCGGCCTGGAGTTTGATACGTACGATTGCCTTCTTCCACAGCTCCAGCGAGTCGGTGTTGCGCGCGTCGTTAGCTCGGTACACCTTGCAGTCGATGTAGTACTCGCCATGGGTGCTCGCTATTCGTCGCTCGCACCCGTTAGCCACTCGGTACACGAACAGCGACGACAGGCATGCTCGATCTGTTGATCCCTCTCCGACTTCCGCGCCTGTCTCGTGATCCTGGCTGATACCGAATATATCGCTATCACTCGTAGTTTTTTTACTGAAAAAACAAAACAAACTTTTGTTAATTTACTAATTACAAACCTGAAAATATAGACTAGAATTATTATTGGTATTCATTAGACTTATCGCTTAAATAATAATTCGTTAAGAAATACCTACATAATGCTGCTCTAATTTTGTAAGTAGTAAAAGTAGCGATAACCATCATTAATCTCATGAGACAAACATAATGAAACATGTAAAACAATATGCAATTTACCTGGGACGGGTTGATTTTGATGTGCGTTTTCTATTGTTTTCTGTAGCCTTACGACCAGTTTTCGATTTCGGTTCAATAGTTGGTGGTGTTTGATAGTATGAACCCTCAGAATCGGACCTGAAACAAGATGTTGGTACAACCGTTAATATAAAATAAATTAATAAGTACGCCGGCCGTGGTGCTGGAGATTACAGTCAAACGAGGTTTTGAATATTATATACTTACATTTTTTCCTTGATTTGTTTTAACTTACTCAACTTCAAGTCGATAGCAGAGGTAGCAGGCACGATGATTTTCTTTAACTGCTGTTAGCGACGGCGGTTGACGACACTGACTGTACTGACTGAGTACAACCATTAACCGATCGCGGATCACGAGTGCGACTGAAGCCCGGAGTCGCAAGTTACTATTACTTAGTTCACTTGGAAGAATTGTAATGATCATAATGAATAATGCAGTGACTTATAAGGCTGGAAATGCCTAACATGAAAAGTAACTTAAATTCTTTAAGTTTCAACGTGTTGTGGAACGTTTTTGTTTAGTTGTATTATAGACGGTCAAAAATACAAACTAAGGTAAACTAAAGTAGAATCAATTGCTGATGCATCAAAAACACTTAGGGTTTACACAACGTTTTTTACAATTTTCATACAACGGTTATTATATAAGCAGCGCAGTGACAGCCCTGTATAAAATAGCTGATTAATGAAGTTGCATCGTTGCATGCACGTGTGCATATTTCGCAATGGTATCGGAAACGCTGAAAGTTGATCTATAGCGTTAGTATTATTACGAAACGTTGACGTTGTGGAATATTCCAGAAACAAAAAAAGTTTTATTTCTGTGGACAAATATTTCTTCTAAATATGTATCATTTCAAGTTGAATACTGAAATCACGAGCATTAAACAGGTAATTATTATTTAAATATTTCATTTTTGATAATAATATTATATTTATCGTCTCGTATATGATACTTATCGTCAATTTGTGATTTAAATTATAATATTTTCACTTTTTTTTCAGCTACACAAGAATCACAACTTACAATTATATAATTATGATCAGATTGAAGATTTATACGTAAGAAAAATATATCCAGCTACATAATTTAAAACTGATAACTGTGGACATTAAACATCGGGACTTAAACATAAGGATACATAATTCTTAGGTAAATATATTCAGAACCGTTAACTATAAGATTTTGTTAATTTATTAATCCAAGTACATGTCTAATAAATCTTTACATTTGTCTTTCCAGAATATGGATGTATACAATAAGTTCAAAACAGACAAAACCACAAATGAGGAACGGGAGCTACAACTGATCAAGATTTTCATTTATGGTGGTGATTCTAATGCAATTTTGAAGCTGTAAATCTATACGAAAGGTACATAATATATTTATGCAGAATATATTATATTATATACGATTTAATATCGATACTTATGTCTAAACGTTGAAATAACTATTAATCTTTGCCTATCAATACTAAGTGATTTGTGCATTCAATTACAATGCCTTACTGCACAGAGTGTCATGTATCTGTAGATAATCGTCTGTGGTCTGGTCATTTACGAAGTAATAAACATAAAAATAATAGCGTAGCTCCTTTTAGTAGTAATGTAAAAATAATTAAGTCATCATTCAAAGGACGTATTGTAAGTTATAGGATTATTGCAACTGAGGAGTTAGCCCATCAATTCCCAGAGAGATATTTATTACAAATCCGAGAACAAGTCAAAGATCTAATAGACCTGGCACTAAAAAGACATACATCTGTTAAAGTTAACTTTGAACTATTTTTGTTTTTTCTATTGTTCAAAAACGATCAGCAAGAAATTAAATCATTTGCTACAAAAAATTTTATTATTAATTTAAATTACGAATTCGATACAATTTACAAAACAGCAATTTCATTACTTCTTAAAAAAATAGAAGAGTTTCAAGAAAGAGATAGCGGCTGGTCATTTTTGAATAACTCCTATTTTGAAATAAATATTAATAAATATCAGCCTCTCAGTGGATCCAAATTTATTCCTTTACCAAATTTTATAAAAAATAAAAAAGCTTGCTTGAATATTAAGAACAACGATAACTATTGTTTTCTATGGTGTGTTGTGGCTGCCTTGTATCCTGCAACCAAACATGCTGATAGAGTTTCATCATATCCTCGTTTTAAAGATGTTTTAAATGTTAATGATTTGTCATTTCCTATCAAATTCACGGACATAGCCAATTTTGAAAAAAATAATCGCCATATAAATATTTATGTGTATGGTTTGAAAAATAATAAGACCGTTGTAGGACCATTATATAAAACTAATAATAAAAAATCTAGAAGCATCCACTTATTGTATTTAGAAAATGATACAAATTCCCATTACTGTCTTATTAAGAATTTACCCCGTTTAGTTCGAACTCAAATTTCTAAACATCATGGTAAATTATACTATTGTGAATCTTGTTTATTGTTTTTTTCTACGCTTAGTCAACTTGAAACACATCTGTGTGGAGGGGTTGTCACAATTTTGCCAGATAAGGGATCAGTACTAATGTTTAAAAATTTTCAAAGAAAACAAGACATTCCTTTCGTTATTTATGCCGATTTCGAAACACTGCTAGTACCTATTTCCAGCAATGAATTTGACACTGTTAATACAACATATAACCAGCGACACGTGCCAGCCGCTTTTGGTTATAACATAGTATCTTCTTTTAATGATAATGATAATAAAAGATATAGAAGTTATCGCGGTGAGGATTGTGTTGCAAAATTTATAGAGTTTCTTACTCAGGATGTAATTG